GGGGAAGGCCCCTTAAATATGACCGACCATATTCTAATCCCCGGAAGCTGGGAATATTTTACTTTACAAGGGAAAAGGAACTTTGCTGATGTGATTACAACTGAACACCTTGAGAAGGGAGATTATCCTGAATTTTCCAAGGTGACCTAATCTAATCACAGGGGTCCTTAAAAGAACAGAACCCTTCCCAATTATGTTCAGACAGAGAAGTGACACCAGAACAGTAAAAGAGATGAAACATTGTTGGCTTTGCAGATGGAGGAAGGGGGCCAGGATCCAAGGAATGTGGGAGGTCTCTAGAAGCTAGAAAAAGAGTGTACCCTGCTTGATAAACCTTGATTTTACAGAAGTGAGATCCATGTTAGACTCCTGACCCACACAACTCTAAGATAATAAATTTGTGTTTAAGCCACTTAATTTGTGGCCACTTGTTAGAGCAGCAATAGAAAACTAATACTGGGATCACCTAGTCCAACATATTTTTTTTTGACAGTCAGGAAACTAAAATCCTCAAAGCCACACAATTAGGTAGTAGCAATGCACTTCTGGGTTTGAAGAGAACATAATTCTTATCTCTTCTTAAACCATGGTCTGGCGTCAGGGTGAAGGCAGAAAGCTAGGACTTTCAGTACGTGAAGGGAAAAAGCTAACACCAATTTTTCTGTATATTGAATGTGTGGTATACTAATACCACAGCTGCTCTTCTTCAGGTTGATTTGGCTAACTTACTACTATATGCTGCAGAAAAATTTACTGCAGACCCTCAAAAGCACAAAAATTATTTCATAAAACTATGCATGCTGTCACATATATTCATTTATAGGTGCAAAGTGACCAGGTATTATCTTTGCACTGTCTTCTGTACCCAGACTGGTACCATGTACAACACGCACTTCTCTAGGAATCCAGGTCAGAGGAGGGAATGAAGTCTGGACCAAAAATACTCACTCTGGAATTTTTAAAAGAATAGAGATTTTAACTCCATGAATTCAGTTCACAAGAATTTACTGAGCACCTACTATGTGTCAGAGTCTTTTAAGGTACTTTGATAGAAACAATAACCCCTACCCTCATGAAACTTACATTCTATTGGGGAAACTAGATGGTAAACAAAATTAATAAATAAATTAATGCTAAGTATTGTTAAAAGCTCTGGACAAAAATAAAGGAATGTAAAGGCACAATTTGACTGGTCTTAAAAGGCTTAGAAATTTCTACGTAACAATTTTGCTTAACAATGATATAAAAATTACATTTAGTTTCATTTATTCATTGATTTATTTAATTTAATTGGAACTATTTCAACAATCAGACAAAAAAACCAGAGTTGAGGAAAATGCCTTTATGTTCCACTTCTCCTAAAATCAGCATAACTATCTTCAGTGTTCAATGGAAGACTTCAACAAACTGATAATGTAGTCAAGGTTTTTCATATTATATAACAGTAATATAATGGAACAAAACTTTCAAAACAAATGTCATTGATTTTACAGGTTTCCCACTTAAGTACTTCAATACAGAAAGTTGGGTGATTAACTGGATAGACCTGGCACAATGAAGTATTTTAGGATTTTCTAGATTTTGGATGCCTCCCAGACTTGAGGAACTATATGACCCCATGTTGATTTTATCTCTCCTGCTGATATTAAACTGTGGATGGCTCAGTAATTACTAATATAGTACTTTTCACATATAATACATTAAGAACAAGTAACTCGCCCGGCTGGTGTGGCTCAGTGGTTGAGTGTCAACCCAAGAACCAAGAAGTCACCAGCTCGGTTCCCGGCCAGGGCATATGCCCGGGTTTGGGGCTCAATCCCCAGTAGGGGGTATGCAGGGGGCAGCCAATCAATGATGTTTCTCTCTCATTGATGTTTATATCTCTCTATCCCCCTCCCTTCCTTGCTCTCTAAAAATCAATAAAAACATTAAAAAAAAAAAAAAAAAAGGACAAGTAACTCTATTTAGAGAGTGGCAAAGAAAGCATAGAAAATTTAATTACTACTGAATTTAAGGTGAAAATCCAAATTTAAATAATCAGGTTTATATGATTTTGTTAACACAGTAAGACAATGTTTAAAACTCACTTTGAAGTGTTTCAAGTTCAGCTCTAGTCAATGCCTCTTCCTTTTCCTTCAATCTTGTTTCCTTATATTTAGCATAAAACTGCCCAGCATCCTTAAAAAAGAAGTTACAAATAAATTAACATAAAATTCAGTTTGCTTTGATGTTATTTCCCACATAACTTCATTTTAAAGCAGTATATTCTTTGACAACTAGTTTTCCTTTGTTTATGCCTTCAAATTTTATGATGAACAGGAGAAACTACATAAACACTTCTCTATAATGTTTCTCTTAGAGAGCTGATTAAAGCCAGACATTGCATGAGTATAAATTTAAGTATTTTCTCTCAGAAATGGACATGTTCTCTTCCTGGTTTCTTCCATTGTGTATTTTCTCAGTATAGTGCTATTACATGAACAGAGAGCAGAAAAAGACACTTGTTTAACTGAATTAAATTATCTGGTATAATAAACTGTATTATTGTACTAACACTATTTTCATATTAGTCTTTCACCTCCAAAATTTTTTCAAAATTATTACATGCAGATCTGATGATGAAACTTATATGAACATGCAGATACAAGTGAAAGTTCTCATTCCTCCTTCTACTATACTAAGATACCACTTCCTATCGTGGAGGGTTGAGGATTGAATACACATACTGTACACAAGTGCTTAGGTGTCAAGATAACAGTGGGTAAAGTCTAAAGGACTGTATATATGTAAGACTCAGCAGAGTACTGAAAAAAGACTAGGCTTTCAATAATCACAGACATGGAGAAAAACAAGTTGATACTCTAGGCATATGAAGCTCTTGAGAGTGAAAAAAGCAAAAACATCATTTTCACCACCCCCTGACTCAAACTTCATCTATTCTATAGCAATACTACCTGTGGCTGCCAGGCCACACTGTGTTATGCTTCCATGTCTTTGTGTATGCTTCGCCCTCTAGGTAGAATATGTTGCTTCCCTGCCATTATTCTGAAGAACTCCTGTCTATCCTTAAAAACACTATTCAAAGCATCATATCCTTTGCAAGTCTTTCTGCTTTCCCTAACAAAGTAATTCTCTTTGTATACTGCTACTGTATTGAAACACACTTCTATGATTGCTTGAATCATGCTATATTCTCTCCTAGAAAATTAGAAATTTAAGGTAGAAGTAATTATATGCCCAGAGCACAGTATCTGGCATAAAGCAGACATTCAATAGTGTTCATTAAACTAAACTAGATAGAAATATATGAGAAACACCTTGTAAAGAAAGAAATGAAAGAGCTTGATGACTGATGTGGAATAAGAAGAGAGGTATAAAAAAATAACTTTAGGGTAGCAATTCTTTCAACTGGTGTGCCACGCGAATTTTTTAAAACATGCAATACCTGACTATTTTGTCAGGGGCACTGAACTCTTTTCCCTTAGATTATCAAATAAAAAAATGAAACAAGCCAACACCACAATAGCTGTCTGGCGTTTAAATGAATCAAAATTATACCTATCTCTTTTTTTTGTCAAATAGGCAAAAAATATATTTTTTGGTGTGCCTTAGAAGTTTAGTAATTAGGTTATGTGTGTCAAGGGATTCGTAGAGCATAGACTCACCTGAGAGGGTTTTATTTCTGCAGAAAATAAAGGAACAAAAACCAATCCTTGGCTCTACCTTGATTCATATGTAAATGCATAAACACTTAAACCCTAGAAAGGGATTATCTCTTTTCCTCTATGACAGTCCAAGTTAAAGCTTTGCCCTGGGGTCTGTGTCTCTTGGGGTTATATCAGAACTCTTCACCAGATAATGATTTAGGGAAATAATAGGATATTTCTAAAATCACTGAATCAATATAATAAAGATGTATCTCTTATTCTTTCCATTCCCAGTTTTATGTTCCTACCTCATTTCTGCCAGAAGAATTCCCACAAGGCTTGGGCCTGCTAAATAATGGTATAATTTGAGGGCACAGAATGTCATGCACCCAATTAACTTTTTCTCCCATGCTCATATATACTTTAAATTTCAACAAGGTTTTGGGTTAAGGTTTTATGTCCCCTTAACATTCCCCATGCCTCTAAAATAATCTCAATCCTGGCACAGTATTATTTTATATTAAACTATATCAGTCATTTATTCCTTGATGTAAATGAATGAATGAGCATATGTATTAGCTTCTTTTCTGAGAGTAGTTTTTAATAATAAGGAAAAGAAAAGGTCAGGAAGATATTGGCTCCTTTAGGGGAGTAGGAAATGTGACACCATGCAAAAAAAGAAGGGCACAGATAAGTTACTTATGGGGTGTGAAAGACACTATAGTGATTAAGAGGACAGATATTGGAGCCAGAATACGAGGATTAAGATACCAGTTTTGGAGGATCCAAGATGGCAGTGGAGTAGGTGGAAGCTACAATCACTTCCTTCCAGAAGCAAACTGGAATTACAACTAAATTATAGAACAATCAACCTGAAGAACCAACTAAAGACTAGCTGAACAGGAGTCTCATAACCAAGGATTTACAGAAGACGACACATAGAGTCTGGTAGGAAGGGCAGAAATGTGAGAAGGGCTGGCCCCGCTCTCATGGGTGTTGGCTGACATTCAGGAAGGATATATTAACTGCAAAGATTCTCCAAGAAGTGTAGGGTCTCAACCCCAAGCTGCGCTACCCAGCCCAGAGCACCAGAACCAGGAAGAGGTGCCCACATAACATCTGGCTGTGAAAATCAGAGGAGACTGTCCCCCCAGGGAAAGAAAGGAGTACACTAGAGACACAAACACCCTCTTAAAGGGCCCACACACAAAAATCTCGTTTGTAGCCACTCACCCTGAGCTCTGGAGGAGGAAGGGAGGAATAGATTAGAATTGCCTGAGGAGTGACTGGGGTTTGTAGCTATAGGGCGAGAGCTGAAGGGACAGCCATAAGGATCACTGTGCTGAGTTAATTTCCCACACTGCAGTCACCATCTCTTTTGAGTGGAGCACTCCCCTGCCTACCACATCATCCTGGGGGTATGGAATAGTCCCGCCCTCTGGACTCCCTCTCACACCACCCTATGGAGCTTGCACCCAGCTAAGAAATCAGGTGCCTGGGTCAGGGTATAGTGGTATGGGCAAGACTCGGGGAGTGTCAGTGACTGAGTTGTGAGGCACAGGGGTGGGGGTCATTTTCCCCACATTCCTATGAACATGACTGGTGCCTCCTCCTCATGAAAGATCTAAAATAAATAAAATCAGAAATGAAAGAGGAGAAGTAACAACTGACACCAAAGAAATACAAAGGATTGTAAGAAAATATTACAAACAATTATATGCCAAGAAATTAGAGAATATGGAAGAAATGGAAAGATTCCTAGAAACATACTACCTTCCAAAACTGAATTGGGAAGAATCAGAAAACCTGGATAGAAAGACTACAACAAGTGAATTGAAGGAGTACTAAAAAAAAAATGTTCCAAAAAACAAAAGTCCTAGACCAGATGGCTTTACAGGTGAATTTTACCAAACATTCAAAAAGTAACTAACACTACCCTGGCCAGTGTGTCTCAGTGGTCAGAGCATCGGCCTACACATGAAAGGGTTGGAGGTTTGATTCCAGTCAAGGGCATGTGCCTGGGTTGCAGGTTTGATCCCCGGTGCCAGTTGGTTAAGACATATTCGGGAGGCAACCAATTGATGTGTCTCTCTCACATTGATGTTTCTCTCTCCCTATCTCCTCCTCCATCTCTCCCTTTTACTCTCTGTAAAAATCAATGAAAAAAATATCCTCAGGTGAGGATTAACATAAAAAAGAAAAAAACAAAAACAAACAAAAAAGAACTAACACTTATCCTCAAACTATTCTAAAAAATTTAAGAGGAGGATTACCAAGCTCATTTTATGAGACTAGCTTTATCCTAATTCCAAGCCAGATAAAGACACAACAAAGAAAAAAAATTATAGGCCAATATCCTTGATAAACAAAGATGCTAATATCCTCAACAATATATTAGCAAACTGGATCCAGTAATACATTAAAAAGATCATACACCATAGTCAAGTGGGATTTATTGAGAATACAAGGTTGACACAATATCTGCAATTTAATAAATGTCAAACACCACAAAAACAAAATGAAGAGTAAAAACCACATAATCATATCAATAGACTTAGAAAAAGCATTTGATAAAATCCAGCACCCATTTATAATAAAAACTCTCAGCAAAGCGGTAATAGAGGGAGAATACCTGAACATAATAAAGGCCATATATCACAAACCCAAAGCCAACATCATACTCAATGGGCAAAAATTACAAGTGTTTCTTTTAAAACTGAGAACAAGACAGGGATGTCCATTTTCACCACTCTTATTCGAAAACTAAAGATTCCACCAAAAAACTATAAAACCTGGTAAGTGAATTTAGTAAAGTAGCAGGATACAAAATAAATATCCAGAAATCAGTAACATTTTTATACACCAATAATGAACTACGAGAATGAAAAACTAAGAAAACAATCCCATTACAATTGCATTAAAAAAAAAAAAGGAACAGTTCCCCTCCCACAAGTATGCCCATGCCTTTCCCTTCCTCCTATTTTCCCCCCAGAGGTATGCAGCTCCTAAACTCTAAGAGACCCCACAAGACGTGCAACCAGGTGAGCAAAGGGCAGCAGTGGCTCATCTCAGCTAACCCTCTGAACCTGTCCTCTAGGCCACCCTTTCTCTAACTCTCCAGTGAGCTGAAAGCAGCCCCGTCTTGGCTCACTTCTTTTCTATTAAGTTTCTAGAGAGCCAAAGCAGCCCCACTCTCCTGTTGCTTCTTCTATCCTAAGCCCTTCCTTGTTTCATTCTCCCCAGCTTTAATAAGTGTATTCTCAAAATAAAATTTAAAAATACATAAGGATAAATTTAACAAAAGGAGGAAAGACCTGTACTCAGAAATTTATAAGACGCTGAAAAAATAAACTGAAGAAGATACAAATAAGTGGAAGCATATACTGTGTACATGGATAGGAAGAATTAACATAATTAAAATGTCTGCCCTGGCTGGTTTGGCTCAGTGGTTACAGCATCAGCCTGCAGACTGAGGGGTTCGATTCCGACCAAAGGCACGTATCTTGGTTGCAGGCTCATTCCCTGGCCCTA